AACCTTTTCGGTGTCCAAATACCACCGTCCTATATATCAATATTTTCCTCCAGACTATTATGGAGCTCCATGTCCGTGATCTCATTCGGGACTCCGAACAACATTCGGTCACCAAATCACATAACTCATATAACACTATATCGTCAACGAACGTTAAGCGTGCGGACCCTACGGGTTCGAGAATGATGTAGACATGACCGAGACGCCTCTCTGGTCAATTACCAATAGCGGAACCTGGATGCCCATATTGGTTCCTACATATTCTACGAAGATCTTTATCGGTCGAACCTAATGACGACATATGTAACTCCCTTTGTCTGTCTGTATGTTACTTGTCTGAGATTTGATCATCAGGATCTTCATACCTAGTTCAATCTCGTTACCGGCAAGTCTCTTTACTCGTTCTGTAATACATCAAATTGTAACTAACTCCTTAGTCACTTTGCTTGCAAGCTACTTGTGATGTGTATTACCGGGAGGGCCCAAAGATACCTCTCTGATATACGGAGTGACAAATTCTAATCTCGATCCATGCCAACTCAATAGACACCTTCGGAGATACCTGTAGAGCATCTTTATGATCACCCAGTTATGTTGTGATGTTTGATATTACACAATGTATTCCTCCGGTATCCGGGAGTTGCATGATCTCATAATCGAAGGAATGTGTATTTGACATTAAGAAAGCAATAGCAATAAATTGAATGATCAAATGCTAAGCTAACAAATGGGTCTTGTCCATCACATCATTCTTCTAATGATGTGATCCCGTTATCAAGTGACAACATATGTCTATGGTTAGGAAACCTTAACCATCTTTTGATCAACGAGCTAGTCTAGTAGAGGCTCACTAGGGACATAATATTTGTTTATGTATCACCACATGTATTTAAGTTTTCGATCAATACAATTCTAGCATGAATAATAAACCTTTATCATGAATAAGGAAATATAATAATAACAACTTTATTATTGCCTCTAGGCATATTTCCATCAATGACTTTCTCAAGGGGGCAAGACCAATATTGCATGAGTCATCGCCTCAATATTGACATTGAATTGGCATCATCTGACGCGCTTTCGTGCTCTCCGATGCGAAATCTTATCGTGCCTCCTCGCAGTATGGTGTTGTTGCTCTCAAACGTCAGCCTCCGCCAACCGGTGGTCTGCTCAAATATTTCTTGTGGTGGAAGTTCGACACGTTGACAGTGTAGCGCTCGTCTCATGCCTTCTCATGCCTCCTTAATAGTGAGGCATCAAGGAGCATGTGGTGGCCGATATAAGTTGCGTGTGTAAGGCCTCTCCTACCCAGACGGGATATATACATGTATTCGTGCTTGACATCCCAAACACCAACATGTGTTTCAGATTAGAAACTAGGCACCTGTTGAGGAGGGCGGGATCCTATTGCATGGCCTCCTCCGCGTCGCCGCGATCACACTCATCCTCAGCGATTCCAACGACTTCCTCCTTGTCGAGCATTCATTTCTTCTCCTCCGAGAGCAGAACCCATTTTGGTCAAGGGGAACCGATAGGGTGTAAGTGCAGAGAAAGAAGAGTTTGCGAGGCACGGATGGTGGTAGTGTAGAGAAAGAGAGCCATGCTTTTTTACAACGGCAGGCAGTGAGAAAACATGGGGCGCGGTAGCGGGAAGGGGCGCGACTAGTTGGACATGTCGTGACCACAGTTCATTATCTCGCGTCGCGGTGGGCGTTTGGCCGCCTGCCCTCCAAACTAAGCCCCACAACCTCAAAATATAGGTAATCGCTAACTTAGTATGGAGTTCCCTCCATGAATTATGATGATTCGGTCGGATGGCGACTCTGCTAGAGTGGTGTTTTTCTCAAAATTGTCATATTGACGATTACTATGACAATCAAACATTTTGGTGACCCTGCTAGTGTTGCTCTTAGTTCTTGAATGTTTCTGGCCACCATTAAAACATCAACAAGAGATAAACAAGCAACCACGTATGATCAGAACCAAGGTAAGAAACACATGTTTGATCCAGCTCATCGAAGGGAAGAACGATTTGTCATATATCTATACCTCTATACTACTATGTAGTGTGACAATAACTTCAAACATTAGTGTTGAAAATGCTCCATCGAACGGTTGAGATATGGAAAATCTGAGCATTGCCATTCGTTAGATAATTTCTAAACCCATAGGATTCTGCCACATCGCCTTCTAATTGATCCCCCACTCTATCATCCCATGTATTCTAGAAGCTTCATTTCCCATGCTTATAGGATTCTCTAATAAAAAGAGACATTAGTAGCATGGAAGCAAACACGAGATACTCTCTTATGTCCATGATATTGTGTAATAGGCATGGTAAAGCTTGGGAGGTGTGACAATCAACACGAGCACAAATTTGTGGATTATGATAATTATGTTATTTTTAAATTATTAGTTGAATCACAAGCTTATATGTCGATATGTCGTAGGTTAATATCATTTGTTGGTGAGATCAATAATTTCAGTAGCACATCATAAACCGGCGATTCACTCCCGGTGCCTTTGCTTCGGTTAGTATTTTAGGTTAGGTTTTCTTCGGTCCTCACTGGTGCGGCGCTCTGGTGGATGACGATGCTTCTTCTTCGAGTTTGTTTTCCGTCCTCTGATTCTCCTCGAGTTCGTCCATCTGGACGCAGTCGACAGAGCTTCGACGTAGATTTATGTCGTTTCCTTGGGGCGACGAGGTTAGAGTTTCTTCTCGTGCATGCGCCGGCAAGATTTGGTGCCAGTTCCTTCAGATATGTTCGACAGTTCAACGACGACGACTGCGGCTCCATGGTACTAGTTCTTAGGGGAACGTGCATGAAGACTTTCTGAATGTCATCGATAATGTCATGCCGGCTCCAGTAGAGGAGCGGCATGTTGGCGGCTCGTTCTGATGGCGGTAGTTGTCATTCGGTGGTCTAGAGACCGACCTCGATGTAAATTTCTATTATGTTCGAGGTGCTTTGTACTTTTGATGAACTAATAGAGTTGAATCTTTTTCGGAAAAAAAAACTGGTGATTCACATTGAAGTATGACATCAAACATTGATATAGAACAATCTAGACTCTAGAGGATGAGAATCATTCTGGGATAGTCTAATATGATCCGTGGGGAAGGGGATAACTATTAGGAGTGCATTTTGTTGTTGTTGTTATATATCTGCGGTGTTTTTCTATTTATTGCATGCACATTTTACTACTATTCCTTGATGGATGGATGCTACCTTGCATCTTCAAACGTCGCTTCTGTTGTGCAGAGCTACACACTAGTAGTAGAGTATATATTCTGCAAAAGAACGCACATAACGATCGATCACGACGACTGCATTCCCGGGGAGTTTGCCGGTCGATCGAGTCCGCCTCGCCGGTTGTCTCGTCTCACCGTGCAGTGCAGTGCAGCGCCTCAGCCAGCCATACATATAACATGCAGGACCGTCAGGCTTCAGAACACGCTCCGACAGGGCCCGGCCTCCAAGAGCCGAGAGCAAATCAGGCCCATAATACAGGCCTCATCGGAAAGGCCGTCTCGCTTGAGGCCCATGCAACAAAGAGGCTGGCTCGGGGTCGGGGGGCACGCAGCGCAGCGTCCGCGCTCCGCAGCCGCGCGAGAGAGGCGACTCGTTTAGTACCACCTCGCCTAGCGAAGAGGGGACGGGAGGGCCAGTAGGCTACAAATAGAGGGGCAGAGCAACGCTGCAACTCATACCTTTCTCGGCCTTTTGGCTAAGATCAAGTGTAGTATCTGTTCTTATCAGTTTAATATCTGATATGTGGGCCATGTGCCCACAACGATATTAAATTTATTTTTTGTGGGGGAGGGCCCACCACAGTGGCTTGCCACTGGGGCCCTCGGGTGTCGTCCAGTGCGTTGCACTACTGCCTGGGCAGGCGCACCCCAACCAAATCTTAAATTAAATTTTGACCCTCTGGATATATATGCAAATTAGTCCTTGGCATTTGCTGTTTACAGTCCATGAGAGCTTCTAGGTGGGCCCATCTTGCAGACGAGCTTTAGGCAGTAGTCTGAATTCCAAATAGAAATCGAAAGTGGAGTTGGTTTGATCAAATCCATTTTGACCCTCTGAATATATATATATAAATTTGGCAAGTCCTTCCTGTGACCCAGTGTCATGGCGCACACCCATGGCTTCGTCATGAACCATATGAATGATGCCGGTTTTGCCATCGATATGATAATATGTACACGATTCACCAAATCCTCACAAGCAGTCTGGGACTTTTAATCTCCTATATACTCCTCTGAATCGCAAAATTAACTGCAGGGATTTTTCTTGTCAGTCTGGATGTTGGAGGAAACACAGCCACCAATTACTTCTCCACAATCCCCACCAAGAAATTGCTGCAAACAGGACAGACATGACAAGCTAAAAATTAGTAGCCCATGATAAAAGTGTTCTCCACAGTCCACACCATAGTCAGTTTGTTCCCCACCATATAAAATTCTTACATCCTGATTCACTTCCTGAAAACCTACTGTGCTACCACTACTAACAAGTCAATGAGATAAGCAGGCCAACAGTTGATCCCAGCCACCCAGAGCATTTCTCACAGGAAACAACACAGAACGAACGTATCAAAAGATACCTTGGCTGTTACCACTTGAAATGAGTGGTTAGCTATCTCAAAAACAACCAACAACAAAAAAAGATACCTTGGCTGTTAAAGGGCTCAAGAAGTAGTAAGAAAAATTATATCTACTTGAATACATTGCAACATCCAGTCTATTGGTACACATGTTTGTAAGTGTGTTTTCTAATGCACACGTTCTCACTATATCATGACCTCAAGGGGGGTAATGGTTACAGTGTCGTAAGATCAACGAAAAGGGGCAAAAATGTTAGTGCCTGTTAGAACATCTTCCTGGATCCAGTGTCATGGTGCACAAGGAATGACCGCCATGGCTTCGTCGTGAACCATATGAATGATGCCGGTTCGCCATCAATATGATAATATGTACACGATTCACCAAATCCTCACCACCAGTCTGGGACTTTTAATCTCCTACTCCTGTGAATCGCAAGATTAACTGCGGGGATTTTGTGCCTCACCTGCCGCCATATCAAGTTCACCGCATCATCCTTCCTGGGGGGATACTGGAATTCATAGTGACTAGAGACGTTTTTCAGCTTTGACCACATCTCAACCCACTTCTCTTTAGGCATCTGTCTGAGCTGGTTGAGCAAGTAATCAGGTTCTAGAGCCTCTTCAACTGAGAAGAAAAGTGAGAACTCGCTGTAATCAATCTCATCCTCAAAAGGGAGCTCGATCCTGCTGCTGATAATCACAGGAATGCAATGACTGACAATGGCATCAAACAGCCGGCATGACGAAGGAGTATCCCCGGCAGGATGGAGGCAAAACTTTGATGATCGCATGCCATCTGTAGACTGCAAGGAGTAAACATTTTATAAAATATCAGTTCTCGTATCAAGAAGCCTCAACAGAGAAGAGAATCACATCAACATATCGAAACCATAAACAAAAGCCACTGCACACTTAGAAGGAACTAGTATGGTGAGGGGCAAGTCCATTTAATTCCAGGTCACTAAAAAAAAGGAAGGGTATGAATGACAGAGAATGCTTACGATTTTAATGCCGTCACCTGTGGCAAGACTATTTTCAAAGCGCACACCATCTTTGCCCTTTAATAACTTCGCGAGTTTTCCACGGATTTTCCCTTCCTGGGGAAAAAAACACCCTTAGGATCCCATACTCTCAAGACAATCCCACTACAGTAAATGCTAGGCTGAGACATAAATCAATTCCATACATCTTTCCTGACTGTACGCCCCCGAAAGAAAAGCAGTGTAGGGCGAGCCTCAAATGGATCAGATGCATCGTCGTTAAGGAAGGAATCTACAACATGGACATATGGTGCTACAACATCTTTCCTCAAGGAAGCCAGTTCCTTTGTGTATCTCCCAAAGTCTGAAACTACAAGAACAGACGCATTCACCATATCTCGCAGAAATCTAAAAGCATTTGGGTGATGCATCGGAATCACATGATCACGTCCCGCAGATCGTTGCCAATATTTAGACTTCCATAGAATGTCCATAAGTTCCACCTACAAGAACAAGATAGAAACAAGTTCAAAAGGCAATTTAATTTAGTTATTATACTTGATGAAATATTTACTTAGGATTACACATAATGAGGACAGAATTACACATTTACAGGGGAGCATACCGATAGAGTTATAGACAGCTTTTTGTGTGATTTTGTTCTCACCCAAGCCTTGCAGGATTTTCCACAGTTAAGAAAAACATTTTTTTTGTGGCTAAGCAAACTTTATAGGTTGACATAACAAAATAACAATCAAGTGACATGCGATGCAAGAAATATAATGTTCTTTGATTGGTTTCACTATATGACAGGTCTTTGATTGGGAGCGTATTTACTTAGGATCACACATAATGGGCCGTGCAGTGCACAATTCTGAGAGATACTGAACACAGAAACATGTCAATCCAGCCTCATTGTCATCGTCATGGAGCACTTAGTTACTCTGTTATCATCGTAATACATGTTTACAAAACCAATGTTGCCTGATTGCTAGCTATAAATTTGCAGTGGTTGATAAGCACGACCAAAGATGCAGAGACATTATGTGTATCAAGTCTGCTTGTGGCCATACTATCCACAATAAGTAATATCGATTAACCCTCGAAATGTATAGACACACCATGTCCAATCGAGAATTTCTTACAAGATCAAACCATACAAACATGAACTGTCAAGTGTAGCAGACAATAGGTTACCTCAGCACTCCCTTCCGCAATTTTGATTCAGTTCCACAAAGAACATCCATGGTGATCAGAGCCTACTAACCTGCCACTACAACTCATACACAAACCAGCCAGATAGCTTACCGGGAAACCCATATCACTACACCTCACAAATTATACTTGCTAATTCCCAGACATTCTTTTCTTTCAAGGCAAGCCACATTGCAAGTAAAGGAGATAGCGGCCTGTCATGTCTGCCATAATTTGGGGGAGACCACTGCTGCTAAATAGTGCGGTCGACAGCGATGGAACACCAGCCATGAGAGCAATGTTCAGAGCCTGGGTGTTTATCTTTGATGAGCTTATACAGTGTTCAATGGACCATTAACCTATTGTGATCTTTCGTCCGTCTAGTGTGTTTTGTAGCAGTACAGTTTTCACCGGGTAATTTGGAGCACAAAACGCAATCCAGAGCAGAGACGTCTCAATCGGAGCCGAGACGATCCATTCTGGGCCACAGGACAGAGCGACCAGCAAAAGCAGTGAGATAAGGGAGCGCGGAGGAGCGTCTGCTACCTGAAGGAGGCGGTCGGCCTCGGTGTCGGGATCGGTCATGTTGCGGCCGTGCACGTTGAAGCTGAGCGAGGAGAAGAAGGGCACGAAGAAGGCCTCGGCGGCGTCCGGATCCCGCACGCGGACGGCCTCCGCCGCCCCTCCTCCCTGCCGCTGCTGCTGCTGCTGCAGGGACGCCATCATCCAGTACTCCACGCTGTGCTGCCGCCTGATCCCGCCCGCGGAGGGCGGCCACGCGGGGAACGCGGTGGAGTTCCCCTCGGCGCCGCCGCCTCCGCCGCCGTTCCTGGAGGAGGCCATCATGGCGACGTGGAAGCGCGGGGGGAGGTCGTACATGAAGACGCGGAGCGGCGCGGCGGGCGGGCAGCGGGCGGCGAAGGGGCGGAGGTTGAGGAGGATGCTGCTGGGGGAGGCGGCGCGGGCCGGGGAGGCGAGGTAGATGACGGTGGAGGAGAGCGCGAAGGCGAGGAGCAGCAGCCCGAAGACGGCGGCCACCGTGCGGACGCCCGGCGCGGTGGCCATGGCCGTGCCGCCCGCCGGCGTCCCCGGTGGATTTGGTGTGGTGGGGGTACGGGGCCGGGCAACAACTAACCAACCCAGCCGCGTCGGGGCGTTGTAATAGGCACGCACGATGGCTCTTTGGTTTTTTTGCTCGTGGTTGGTTATGGGGGCAGCTCCGGACTCCCGAGTGGGGAATATGGTTGAGCTTCAAGGGGTTTTAAATTTACTTGCTTTACCTTTTTGAGCACATTGACTTGAATATGTTTATTTGTCTATGATGTAGACACGACATGTGCCCATGAGTTATCACCAAAATTTCAAAGTGGAAACATTGCTTGAGAAACAAAAATGATAGACACACCTAGTATTCATAGTAATGACCGGCAAAATTATTTGTTACCGCTGAATGCCTGATAAATCTTGCTTGCAAGCTGTGTTAAATTGGGTACTGGAGTCTGCGAAGTAGTGGACATGCGTTGTTCTTATAAACTCGTAGTTTCTTAAGCTGTCCTTTTCATTCTGTCAGTGCGGTCCAAGTCACGGTGCACCACAAGAAAATATAGAAGAGTGATTTTGGCTCCGTTGACTTAAAAATAATTATTTCTCAAATCAATTGCTTATACCTATAAGATCTCAATTGTGTCCTCACTTTTATATTTACACATGTACTAAAGCCTAGTAGAAGTCCCATAGCTAAATGGTTTTATATTTCGGATTTGCTAATTCTCATGTAGAAGATAGTTAACAATTAACCCAACAAAAATTATAGAAGAAATTTCTTTTGGTTCCGGAGTGGGGAATATGGCCGAACTTCAATGGTTTTTTATTTACTTGTTTTACCTTTTTGAGAAAATTGACTTAAATATGTTTTATTTGTGTATGATGTAGACACAACATGCCCTTACCACACCTCAAAGTACAACTTTTAGTTTAAAGCACAACTTGATAAGCAAAAATGTGGTAGATACTCATGACTAGGAAAACATAAAACACAACCGAATTTGTTACCGCTCAACACCGATTAATCCTTCTTGTAAGTCGCGTTGGGTTTGAGCCCGCGAAATGGTAGATACCTCTCTCGGCCAATCTAGCTGAGTTCACGAGTGCACTATCAAACTCCCGTTACGCCGCAGCACGCCAGCGACTCCTTCTGGCAAGTTTGGCTCCCCAGGCTTGCTATAATTTTCCTTCTTTATGGGGTGCTGCTTAATAGATACGAGATTTAAAAAAAATCGATTTATTCATAATAGATCACGGTAGTATAGAGACCATTTGAAAGATCGTGGATGCCGCCTAGAGGGGGGGTGAATAAGCGCTTTAAAATAATTACGATTTAGGGTTGAATAAATGCGAAATAAAACTAACGTTTATTTGTCAAGCACAAAACCTAGAACAATTAGGCTCATCTATGTGCACCAACAACTTATGCTAAGCGAGGTAAACAACTAAGTGATAACATGATATATAACATGAAATATTATGGCTATCACAAAGTAAAGTGCATAAATAAAGGGTTCGGATATAAGAGATAACCCAGGCACGCGGAGACGTCGATGTATCCCAAAGTTCACACTGCTGCGGATGCTAATCTCCGTTTGGAGCGGTGTGGAGGCACCGTGCTCCTCAAAATGCCACTAGGGCCACCTAATCTCCTCACGCCCTTGCACAATGCAATATGTCATGATTTCATTAAGGGACACTTGAGGGCGGCCACCGAACCTGTACAAATGGCAACCCATGGGGCGGTCACCGAACCCATACACTTTGACAACCCCTTGGGGCGGTCACTCGACCCCGTACAAATTGCTCAGCTAATCTTCACAACTTAATTGGCGACCTTGACGCTTGTCCCGGAGCTTTCCACCATAACGATTGAACTTCGCGACACAACTAACCGTCTAGGCACCCCAAGCACCCAAGAGGCACAAGCTCTAGGGTGCCCAAACACCCAAGAGTAATAAGCTTCTCAACTTTCACTTCCACGTATCATTGTAGAGAACTCAAACCGATGCATCTAATGCAATGCAAGAACACACGAAGTGGTCAAGTCCCTCACTCCCAAATCCCACCACAACAACAAAAGCTATGGAGGAATATGAGACGAATAACAAGGAGAACACCAAGAACTCCAAGATCTAGATCCAAGGGGTTCCCCTCACTTAGAGGTGGTAGACAGTTGGTAAGTCATCGTGCTAAGCCCCCATAGAATCAGCGCACCAGAGCAGGTGAAGAGAGTCGTAGATCTGAAGGATCAGACTTGTAAGACTGCACCAAACAGATCCAACGAAGACCATCATTGATCGATTCCCGCAAGATCCGGCACAGACACACCTTCACACGCCCTCCCATTTCGCGTTGGCTTCCCTGAAAACCACACCACGGAGCAGTTGCGCATGTGTATGTGTCGTGAAATTGTCACGTCAGATGTCCTAGTGAAAGGACTTAGTCATGGAGCCATCGCAACTAGGAAACTTAAAGGGGTTAATCGGGACAAAGGACACAAGGTTTATACTGGTTCGGCCCCTTACGATGAAGGTAAAAGTCTACGATCCAGTTTGAGTGGGATTGCTTATGTCTCGAGGAGCGAATCCGCTTGACCTAGTTCTCGATCTGATGTTACTTGTCCTGAACCGCCGCCGGGCCGTCCCTTTATATACAGAGGTTGACACCCAACGGCTCACAAAGTCCCGGCTGACTCATAAACAGTGTCCGACTCGGTCTTTCTCTATTCCTGCCTTACAATACGAGTTATATACATATGGCGGTTTATCTCTACGAGCCTTAAGTCGCCTTCGGGCTTTTGGGCCCTTAACTGAACCGCCATCTTCAAGCATCGCCTTGGGCTTCAAGAATCGTCATAGGTATAACCCGACCCCTCCTGGGCGGGTCATATCTAATAGTTATATCCCAACAGTATGTGTACTAAGTTCAACTTCAAGTGCGCTTATCGTGAGCGTAGAAATGATTGCAGTGTTCAATCAGTTGGGCGCTCATGTGACCACTAATCCCGCCGTCCTATGATGGGCTGGTGATTGGTCAGGCAACAACATGGCTAGTTTTTCCGCAAAAAAAAAGGCAACAACATGGCTAGGATGATTAGCCACCGCGAGTCCACGATTCCCTCCGGTTTTTTAGAACGCGCGATTCTTCCATTCTTTTCGACGAGCACGGCACGGCATGGCCAGGCTAGCTTGATGCTGCCCGTGAAACATACGCAGCGCGGCCCACCGTCGGCACCATCAGAACATTTACAGTGCGGCACTCGTGCCAAGTGCTGCTGCTACATACACTCTTCTGAAGTCAATGATGGGTGCGGCAGAACCGCGTGTTGATGGCAAGAGATTCTGGGTGCCAGGACCACGACCTCCATTTATTTGCTCCGGGAAAACAACAGGATTTACTGCCTCTGAGCAGGACGATTCGCTGGTGGTAGAGTACTAGAGGGTGTGTACAGAGAGTAGTACTACTATGCCGTGATTCCATTCAAAGCGGCGATCGACTCTTGTCCGTCACGGCGCCCAAAAGCGCGCGCATCCGTGGCTTTGCGTGCGTGCCAGTCTGCGAGACCGGAGGATGCTTCCAAGTCTACTCGGGGCCGTTCCACAAGGGACAAAAGCAGGTCTACCCAGCCAGACCCAGGGGCAGGGCCCACCGGTCAGGCGGGGCTCTTTCCCTTGGAAGGAACGCTACGAAAAGAACTCTGTTCTCTCGACATTTATCCCTGGGAATTAAAAAAATATATATATTTATCCCCGTCAAAAAATATAAATAAGGTGCTGTTATATCACTCGTCGGCAGATGACAGTAAACTCAGCTTCATTGCCTCTGATGTCTGCATGCTCATAATACTTCTCGTGCGCATCTCCAAGCCCAGGAAAAACAAGTTATACTCGGGAAACCAATCTATAGAATCAGGGGATAACGACAAAACAGGTATATATCATGATCGAGTGACTAGCAGTTATACCCCAAAATCCAGTGAGTAAAGCTGCAATGCTCCCAAGGGAAGCTCTTCCCAGCATTTCGCTCAAAATCAAGCTAAACAACGGCGATCACTGATCAAGCCTTCCGTTCCAGCTGGGATTTCTACCTCATGTGCGGCCGCTCGGGATACACCGATACATCTATCTACCTGTGCAACGATGGGTAGGACTCGGCCATGATCAGGACGACGAGGGACGTCCATCCGGTGAACGACCTCGCGCCCTTCCCCTTCCCTTTGTTCTTCTGGTCGTAGTTCTCCCAGAAGAACCCGGTTTCCTGGTAATTCCCTACAATGTTCCTGTAAATGCAGGCAAATAAGTTAGCACCACAGGCGCATCTTAGAGAGGCTGAAATTCAGCTGGTTTCAGTTTCTCGTGGTAGAAAAACGGATATACCGAATCAGGTTCGATCTTAGCTCATCGTACAGTTCCCCTGCCCTGACCCTGTACGGACCATCCTCTACAGGGCAGCGCAGTGTTAAGAGTGTAATGCATACAGTGAAATTTGTGAAAGGTAATACTAGTATGGTACATTTCACAGCATTGTTTGAGGAGTTTTACCGTGTGCATAGTGATGGAGTCCTGAAAGAATCATGTAGTTCATGTTTATCCAAATGGCACCTCTCCAGTACGGAGCGTCATGCTCCGTATTACGCTTCATATACATTGAGCTGGACCATGGATCAGCAAATAATTCAGAAACTACTTTGTTTAAGGCAAATTCAGAAACTACTAACTGAATGACCTAGTAATATTGTTCAGTGAGTGTAATAGTAATACAACTGGCCCAAGTCTTCTACACTGGGCCCTCTAGTGAAGTTACAGTGTGGATGCTCTAGAAGTTCCAAAGTCACGAGTACCTCCAATTTTAACCATCGAGCTGTGCTCCTTAGCAAAGTGAATAAATACAGATATTTAGATATACCTTGTTCTAGAAAGTGACCGGAGGCCATAATCCGTCCACAGGATAGAGGTGTTGGATATAAGGTCAAGCTGCTTCTCAAGAACCCATGATTCCTGAACAGAGTTAAATAGTGCTTATCACTTTAGGAGTTTGGGCTGGGATAAAAAAACACGGTAAAAGTGAGAAGCAAACAGATGGGAGGTAGTGAGCATACAGGTGGAATGGCCCCCATCATGAATGGGAATAGGCTGACATAACCAACATGAGGTACTAATTGCAGCTGCGGGGCTTCTAATGTCTCCCGCAGGAGTTCTCGTTTCATAGCCTCCCTATCTTCATACCATCTCAAACGAACCTAACAATGATCTTACAACCAAAATCAGTAATCATGCCTGTAAGCTAAATCACAAGGCTGAGAGGAAACGCAACACCAACCTTTTCTGTATGGTTACCAAAGTCAAAATAGGCACCAGTTTTGTCATCCAAGTGCATCTGTCAAAATGCAACAAACAACTGAACAATGGAAGCCTAGTTATTGCTTGAACACAGCTTGTTACATGCAAAACCCAATAAGTCGATAACAAGCATTTAGTAGATAGCTGCTCTTTGGAAGAAAGAAAAAAAGACTACACAACACATCATGAATTCAAAGGCATTTGTGTCATACTTCTTGTCTCCTACTGGCATACGATACCATAATACTGTAATACTCAGCAGCAAACAGAAAGCTCAGCATGTTTCCCAAAACTATCCCCAGCAAATTTACTTATATGGCCCCTTGAAGTTGGGCAGGAACTAAAACCACAGTATTCACTGGAGTTTTTGGTAAATTAGCCACCATCCATTGCATAATTCTGTCTATGTTTAAAGGGTCATATAAAATAGAATGTACCGGATCATAATTATTAGCATTGAATAAGTGCCTCTATTCATATCCAAAAATGTAATACCATTAGTTAAGTGACTCAAAGAATGATGTCGGATTGATCTACACAATAAAAACAACATTCATGAACGAAAATAAACTATCAGAACTTTCAGGGCAATACCTTGTTAAGTGTCTCAAAATCTGAAAGTTGATCTGACAATTTATAGTAATCCTGCAGAAGATCACAGATTTTTCAAGAAAAAGAGTCGGTCAGTAAATGGGTGAGACAAAGCCAGTGCAGAAATTCATATTGCAGTACCTTCTCAAGAGAGCTGTCCATTTTAAGAAACCCGGCGATTGAGCGCATACAATTTGTAGCTAGAAGCATCCAGCACCGAAGGTCAACATGGCGCTCCTCATCGTTAGGGTGAGATGCACGAGGATAGTCATCCAACCCAGATGTCAAAGTCTGTAAAGGAGTTAGAAACATTGGAATGATCTCACTAATGCAATTATACAGAAAGACAAGGGAATAAACTCAATTCCCAATAACATAGCTTTTGCATATACTCCATCCATTCCAAAATAAGTGTCTCAACGTTGTACTAACTTTAGTACAAAGTTGACACACTTATTTTGGGACGGAGGTAGTACTTTAGGATCAACTGATCAGAGTAGGAGCAAGCAACTAAGAATTTTTCAAAAACCTTTGGGTTTAACTCCCTTGTTGTCATACTGTCTCTTCCATGCCAAAAAAACGTCCCTTCATATTTCCCTAAAAAACAATCAAGTCAATAGACCTTCATGATAAACAAGCTAAAAGTTCGACATGACGAGCAGAAACATAAAGGGTAATCCACATATAATGGAAATTAATATCCACAGTTGGTTGACCCAACAATAAACATTGACTTTTAACAGTACAAAGCATATATATAATATTTTACAGCTTACACCAGTTCGCAGAAAGGTTAAATGCACACCGTAATGCCATGTGACAGAAAAAGTGTTCTACAAAGCACTTAGGCTAGGGGGACAGTGCAGTGGCAGGTTGGCAACTAGCACATAGCCGCCAACCAGTCAAACAGGCTTAGGTGTTCCCCTTTAGAACAGTGCAAAGAAATGGAGCATATCTCTTTCCAGGCCATCAAAACCCAGGCACATGGCATTGTAACCTCAAAAAGTGTATAGTTTCTAACTTTGGACAGGCAGATCCTTCAGCAGGGCATATTAGTGTTCCATATTCTGACAGCTGGTTACGCATTTCTCTCATTGGAACAGTTGATCTGAGATACAGTGTCTGCTAAACTAGCCAAGGATCACTTTATTTGGTCAGTTTGAGAAGTGAGTATATATAAAGGAATCAGAGAAACTGAAGGGAAAACGGACAAACTTCTGAAAACTTTGATGTGTTCCTATACATAATGTAAGAAGATATAGATGATTGACAGAAGGGACGATTATCATCTGTGCCAGATGTTTGCACCCTTGATCTAGCTTCGATTACACTTTTCGGTACTTATTCTGAATTGCTTTCTACAATTAATGAACCGGAACCTCTAATGCTCAAGAATAAATATTAACCCAAATATTCTTTAAACATAGCATAGCCAAGTCAAGGCTTTGGAAGCTCAAGTAGTCAAGTGTAACTACTCTTCTTACCATAAACCACAGATGGCCCCTAAGGGCATGTACAATGGTGCTATCTTAAGAGTGCCACGTAGGATAAATAATGAGGTGGAGGAGAGAGAACTCATAAGAAAAGGTTTGTCTTCTCTTATTTAAGAGAAGACAAGAGGTGATCTCTTAGCACAATATGTCTCACCACGTTTTTAGGAATAGCTAGTTATTGAAGATAAGGCTAAGAGATGACCCATTGTAGATATTTTTTTTGTCATCTCTAAATTACATGCAAGACATAAGACAAGACTATCTTATCAACCATTGTACATGCCCTAACAGAAGACAACTAAGCATAGTAATCCTCGTGTTCAACAATATGTCCATAAATCAGTAACAGCATGCAGTTCAGCATGTTCATGCGTGCTCTGAACACTGTGATGAACATGACTTAAAATAAAGTGAAGATCCAACCGACACATACTTTTCCGTGCTTGGCAGAAGAAAAGCATACTGGTTCACAGCCACCAATCGTTTACTCTTAATAGTTATGACCGAGTATAAGACATTGGAACAGCAAAGCTCACCTGATTGCGTACTATTGAACCACTGGAACCAAGAGTTCAGCCGTACATAAGCCCTTTTAAGGAAAGTGGATATCTTTTCAGCTTCCTCATCCGAAAACTGGTGTGCATGTATGCCACTTGCCAAGTCTGCGAGAGAAAATGTATTAAACCAACTGGACCGCAATCACTTGATCATAATTCACACACTTCTACACATAAACAGGTTTTTGATGCTTGGCCAGATCCACACATTAATAAGATTCTGATGCTAGGCCACTGTGAGCAGTTCTCTCTCAACACATAATTGGATACACATGCACCAACAAAATAAACCTAACATAATTTGTAAGACTTCAAAGCCATTTTTTCTGTTGTGTGAGTCTTGTTGTTATGCCCTCGGATATTTAAAGTGGGAGGGATAGGGGAACCGGCCAGTAATTTAAGCTGTTTAACCTCCCAACCGACCACCCAGGTTAGAGTCATAGGACCAGTTTGGGTGCTCATCTGGCCATCTTGTTCTTTGGTAATTGAGTACTTCCAAGAGAGAAGCTAGTCAAATTTCAAAAGAAGAACAAAGGGGTAGAAGCAGGGAACATTAGTGTGTAAGCTGATTTCTGCCTTACATGTCAACATTTATCATTTAAAGCATCTAGTGTGTACAAACCGAATAATTAAAGAGAAATACTAAGAAAGTAATTAGATATCTCAATTATCAACACCAATGAACAGGATTGGTCCTACCACGCAGCGCAAGAAATAATGTCGGAGGGTTTCCATTGGAAGGATACTGCAGAACGAATTCCTCAGGAACTTTACTGCATGAAGCCAAAAAACTAGATGACATAAGAACTGACACATCAAACTTATGACTAGCTATGAGAAGGACAAAGATAAGAATGTCGCAGGGTCCATCCCTCATAGTGGATACTAACCTTAAAGCTTCAGCCCCTAATATTTGCTCTCGAGGAATCCATCCATCCGCATTAATTAGATCCAACCAATGGCCAATTATGTCCATCGATATATGGGCATCCCAGCGCCTGTACATCATCATCAAGGAAGTGTGTTCACAGAAAGCAATAATACCAGCACAGCAGGGAAGTTGTCCAGATAACGAATGGAGTAGCAGAAGCCATGCACCAAACATTATGAATTGACAGAATGCTTACCAAATGACTAACTGATGGAAGCCCTCGTCCCACAGGAATCCCCTAGGGAAAAATGAGCGACTGGGCACAGCTGTATATAGTGCAGCAGGCCAATATGGAATATATTTATCTCCATTTTTTTGCTGCAACAAAAAATCTTCAACATTATTTGTTTGTGTGATAGTAATAACCTAGAATCTGTATCTGGTCTACTGCCCAAAAGAAATAGATTCAGCACAGTAGAGTAGATCACTACACATAAGGTGGCAAACAGCCATGAGAAGGACATAGATAAGAATATCAGGTGAAACTCTAAAACTTACTGAAAAACCTTTTGGAAGTGCAATTTTTGACTGCCCGTAGAAGTAGCCAATACCGCCAAGTAGACTTGACAAGGCAGCTCTACCAACAGATAGTTCTTTGGAAACAATCTGCATCAGAGCAACACTAGCATCAACATAGGTCCATTACATAGTCCTCAGCCAAGCTTTACTGATTGCCTGGAACAATATCTATCTATCTAGCAAAAAAACCATTAGCATTAAAGTATCTACAACTGTAAAGCACACAACCAATAAAAAAAACGTAACTATCATGTACAGCCCCATAAACGCGGACACAAATCCAAGAGTAAGTACAAATACTTTTGATTTGGGAAATTAAATTCAGGGTTCCTAGGAAGCAGTACTACAGTGAGAAAAATAACTCTAGAGACTGCAAAAAAGAGCTTGTGGAAAGTACAAAACTGATCCAAAGAGCGCACCTTATTATTTACGTTGAAAATTTGATCATATCTCTCTTCAAAATCTTTCTGTTTTGATTCAAGGCGGGTGCTCAGCATGGGACCTGAAAATCTGACATCATTACTGATATAATAATTAACAAACAAAATGAATACATCGTGCCTTCAAAAGTCAAAACTCCTGAAGTTCAGGTTCAACACAAGGACAAGATGCAGGTAAAACGGCTCTCATATCTGATGCGAGGAAGCAAGACAAAGTCAAAATCTCGTGTTACTTCCTTCAAAATGTTCAGAGCATGCATATTATAGATGATGTCCATGGAATCCAATAATGAATATGTCTCCTATCTATAAGCAGTATTGCATCGTGCAGCAGAATCACCTGTTAGCCTGTTAACGCGTTCTGCAGTCATTGGATTTTTTGAGCCAGCCCCTGACAAGAACACTATGTCTATTTTGGCAGGAAGTTTTATTGAAACCTGTGGAAACAGAGGGAAAACATAAATCACAAAGGCAAAAAAATATTACTCAAGTTCTGGGTGTTATTGACTCATTCTTGATTTGACACATACATGAGGATGTACTGTATATTGATGGAATAACTTGACAGGGGCAAAAAGAAAAAAAAAACTGTCTTCACCTTTAAAGTACCTGATAGATCATTGCATTTGAAGAGTCTTCGGCCATGTCTGGCAGATTAAGGTTCCCGCTTTGCCTTGCCTACAAAGGTCCACGGAAGTAGCTATAAATGCAAACCAACTTTATAATATACAGGTAAAGGAACAAGAGTTTAGGAATTACATTAGTCACAAGGGCATGTTGTACTAGGTCACTTAGATTATGCATACTGGTCGTCTGGAATCCAGCTCTGTGAATTTCCAAATTGTCCTGTGACGGAGTTCCACAAATGACGATAGAGATGTCAACCATATGGCATCATGTTACATACTAGTATCAAGTGATACAAAAAAACCTTAAAACTAGGACTAACAAGGCCTCAGTATATGTATACCTCAGATCTCAGGTAAAGTTCCCAATCACCAATCTCTTCATGCAATCCAGAGGCCAAAAGAACAGGACCTCTCGACGGAGGCTCATGTGAGCCCATAGTGATCAACTTCCCTGCTTCGTCAGCAATATAGAAGAACAGATGTGTGGTGCTTTCTTGGGCTTCACTTAAACTTGACCTAAATTAATTGAAATGGCAGGGGATGAATTTCTTTTTGTTCCTTAGATAATGTTGCAGGAGTAAGAACATATGACAATTTCCTAGTGTTGTATTTGGTGATGAAGAGGTCAACTCAAGTAAAAAATAACAGTATTTCCATCTCGTGCTAAACATTACTTTATTTAAATCAGTTTTTTTCAGTTTGCGCCTAATGAATATGGACTTACCCCTCGTTCTTAGCATCCAATCGAACTGCCCAGTCTCCTCCATAGCCACTGCCATCTCCTTTCTCTTTTAGAAAGCTAGTGGTCAAGTGCAAGCCATGATCAGTCAGCTCTTGACGTCCATAATCCCTACCATTGTGATCTGCCCAGCCATATTTGCTAAGCTCATCAGAATCTTGGCAGACATGGCGAATAAAATATTGTCCATTTTTCACGCCAATCCACATTAACCCAGCAATTAGAGACAACGGAGTTCTGAAATATAAATTGTATTAGTAAGTATTTTTCACAAGCTTGGTAGTACAGAGCTCGTCACACACACATATTATTTCTTCTGATTAATGGAAAACAGCATGCTGCACCAGCAGCAGAAATTGTATACCACACCTCCAGTCCTCCACAAATGGAACTAACCTAATGAGAACAAAATACCTCTGTTTGCCTCGTGTTCACGAGACAAGTAAATTCACAGCATAACAACTAATGATGCTGGCAATATATAAGTTTTCATGGATAGCTCTAGCATGTCCAAGAGGACTAAGAGAACAGAATCATTCTAACTAGCATGTTATAAGGGAAAGAGGAAGAGATCACCAAAGTTAAGTACCTAGCACGAATTCCAAGATATACATTTGGCCTGTAAGTACCCCAATACAAGCTTTCTTTGTGATCACCTTGGAACTGCAGCCAGTCAACATTAACCATCAGATTGATTGGTTTACAACCAAAAATCAATACAAATCATCTAGAACCGAATAAATCAAATACTCGCCTAGTAAAGAACTAGAATGCATACACATTACAGTGGAAAGCAGTTTTATCTCGCCTATACACACTATTCTAATTCACGGCTCTTAACGAGTTTAACGACCTATGGCAAATCAAGGGGAGGATTTACTACCAAACTGGCCTCCTTTGGTTTACAGGAATTTTGTAGGAATTCTAAAGGATAGGAATTTTGTAGGAAAAAGTCCTTTGAAGCCCTGTGGTTTGTAGGAACGGTTTTCCTATTCCCATGATGTTCTTATCCTATGAACAAAAGGAGGCCTTAAAAGTTACTCCGCAGAGCACTAATAAAGCACACGCAATCCGTAGTTCATTGTACTGATGTAACCAAATGTTTAACCAAAACTCATCATTAACTAGCTACCATCTATTACCCAGTGGTTCAGACATAGTAAAGCAGTAGTGTCCTTCCCCAAATTGGGTAGCTCTTACATATAATTCCGTGTCCTAAGTTCCACTGTTGCAGGTTCTAGCAGAGCACGCACACCTTACAGAATGACACATCACCTGCCTAGTCAATTGAGAAGCTACGGGGTGACGATCCTCACCTGAGGCAGATCCATCATCCGGGGCGCATCAAGCGGCGTGACGGAGCGCGCCATCCTGCGCCGCGCCGCGGCGCCCTCCGACTCCGCCTCAGCCTGCCACCACCCGCCAGTATACGCGAGGAAGGCGAGGGACAGGAGGGCGACGGAAGCAATCACTAGGAGAAGGAGGGTTCGGGCGCTCACGGCCATGAGGCGCAGGGGGGCATGGTCGCCGCGGCCACTGCGCCGCGCTGCGGCGGCGGCGGCGGCCCGGCGCGCGTCCGGATCCGGGGCAGAGGAGGAGGGGTCACCGCGGCTCCTGGAGGCGGCGGATGGACGCCGGGTGGTGCCTCCGCTGCCGCCGGTCATCGGAGAATTCCCGGCGATCTCCGCGCTTTCTCTGGTTTGGTTCGTGGACTCGCCACTCGGCTAGACTGGACCGGAGACTGCAGGGGGAGAGGAGAGGGGTTTGGGTTTTTTCCACTTTCCGCCTCGGTGCTGCGTTGACGGAAAAAAGAATTACGTCTTTTTTTCCCATGTACAGGCATATCATATTTTCCAACTATCTTGGTATTTTTTGTGGAATATTTCCCAACTTCTTAAAATTTCTGAAATGAGCGGTTTTTGGGTAATTCAGATGATGAATGTGGAATGCTTGGTTTTGGAGTTTCTCACTGCTAGCCGAGAGCGATTGTTTTAGGGGCGGGCATATGTGTCTGATTTCTTCTCTTCTCCTGGAGAACTAAGGATTTCGTGAGACCCACTAATGAGCGGTTAGATCCGAGTCATCAAGATCCAGTAGTTTGTTTGACGTCAGCCGACTTTTGTTCTTTTTGTTGCTTGTGGAATGTATAGTTTTGTTATGAAACCATCAGGGTCAGATGGTGATTTTGAAGATGGTGGATCTGGGTATTGTTCGGGTTGGCTTTCTTTTTCTTTAGCTCTTGTTTGATCGGTGTATTGGCTACATAATGATGTATTGACTGGGGTGGACCGCGATGGCGTTTGTGGTTGCTTGTGGTCACCGAGCTCGACGTCGTTTCTCGTTGTTGATTGCTACCTCTTGAGCACTGCATTGGTTTTCCCTTGAAGAGTGAGAGAGTCCTGGATTAGGGGGTGTCCGGATGGCCGGACTAAGACCTTTGGCCGGACTCCCGGACTATGAAGATACAAAATTGAGGACTCCGTCCCGTGTCCGGATGGGACTTTCCTTGGCGTGGAAGGCAAGCTTGGCGATACGATATGAAGATCTCCTCCCGTTGTAACCGACTCTGTGTAACCCTAGCCCTCTCCGGTGTCTATATAAACCGGAGAGTTTTAGTCCGTAGGACGAACAACAATCATACCATAGGCTAGCTTCTAGGGTTTAGCCACTCCGATCTCGTGGTAGATCTACTCTTGTACTACCCATATCATCAATATTAATCAAGCAGGAGTAGGATTTTACCTCCATCGAGAGGGCCCGAACCTGGGTAAAACATCGTGTCCCTTGTCTCCAGTTACCATCCGCCTAGACGCACAGTTCGGGACCCCCTACCCGAGATCCGTCGGTTTTGACACCGACATTGGTGCTTTCATTGAGAGTTCCGTTGTGTCGTCACCATCAGGAAGGATGCCGCATCCCGTCTTTAAAGACGGCGTCGTTGCTAAAGGAGCTTTGGCTGTCGGCCAAACTCTCCGGCTAGGCAGGTTTTTGATGACCGCCTGTCCGGCCGCCGCGCCGACGATGACCTCTCGGGCCATCGAAAGCAATCTTCACATCAGCTTGGAGCTTGCCGAGCAGTTAGATCCGATGGAGCGCTTCTCCTTGAACGAGCTCTTGGATCGCATCGCGGCCCTGGGAGTCGCTACTGATTACGACCGGATTGGGCTTAAACCCGATCAGAGAGAGATTGACTCTCCCCAGATTACCCACCACGTCGAAGTGGTGAAAGAACAATGCGGCGAGTCTTCGCCCACCCTAAGGACCAGATGCGTTCGGATTCCCGATCCCTCCAAGCCGGATACCCACGGAGGGGAGGGTGTCGCCCAAACCCTGAACCTAAAGTCAGGCAGCAGGCCCGATTCATTGAATAATATCCGAGAAAGCAAGCTTCCGAATTCGGAAACCGCTCGGCCCCTGAATCTTACATCGGGCAGGGTTCCGAATTTAATTCCACCCGCCCACCCGACTATACGGGATTTATCCCTAATACGGCAAGAGTCCGGAGAAACAGTACACCACTACTGGGTCAGATTCCTCCTGGTTATGAACAGGATAAAGGACTGCCGTGAGAAGGAAGCAATTTCACTCTTCTTTAACAACTGCACGGACATCGGAATCCTTAACGCCATAAGTCGCCGCGAAATTACACGATTCGCCGACTTGACATCCATAGTACGAAAGTACTATGCGACTGAAAGCGTTCGGAAAACCGAAGATAAATTCTGGGACAATCTGGCCCCGAATATAACACGAGTCCGAAACAAAAGGGCGCATTATCGCCAGGCATCTGAGCCAAACATCAAAAAACAAAAACCCTCTACAGGGTACGGGACCGTACTGGAAGGATGGCTCAATGGACCCTGTAAAATTCATAATTCAGGGAAAGCCACACCAACGCACAGCCTCAGAGCATGTTGGATACTACGGCAGGTGGCCAGAAGTGGCGAGGAGCTTTTAACTCCAGCACCCGAGAATACCTCCATAGTACGGTGTCGACAGTCCTCGAGACCTTCACATCAAACAATGCAAGGAAACGAACGCTCCGCAACCTTGCCGAAGTCTACCAAGTAGCAACAATAAACCCATGGAGTGACACGGCTATCACCTTTAATGCCAGTGACGAACCTAAATTCTGGACAGCCCGAGCACCAGCCGTATTGGTCCTCAGTCCGATAGTGGACGGCTTCCGACTTACAAAGGTACTCATGGATGGCGGCAGCGGACTCAACCTCATCTACGAGGAAACCCTGCGAAAAATGAAAATTGACTGGAGCCGCATTGAGCGAAGCAACACAACTTTTAGGGGAATAATCCCAAGCCGGGAAGCGTGCTGTTCAGGAAAAATCACACTGGATGTGGTGTTCGGCACGCCGGACAATTACAGATCCGAGGAGGTCACGTTTCAAGTGGCCCTGTTCAGCAACGGATACCACGCTCTGCTAGGGCGAGAAGCATTTACAATTTTCCAAGCCATACCCCATTACGGGTACATGAAGCTCAAAATGCCCGGGCCCAACGGAATCATCACTCTCGCAAGTGATCCGGACATAGTGCTCTGCGCTGAAAACAAGACAGCCGCACTAGCCCTGGAGGCATTATCTGAGGCCCTAGCGGCCGAGGAATTAACGGTGTTGCGCTCTATGATGGACAGGGACGATGTGATACTAGACAAGAGATCCAAGTCCACCTCTTTTAAACCAGCGGACGAAATAGTCAAATTCCAAGTCCATCCAACGGACCCTACAAAAACGGCCTCCATCGGGGCACAATTAAAACCCGATGTGGACGCCGCACTCAGAGACTTCATGCGAGAAAATTGGGACATTTTCGCCTGGCACCCCTCGGATATGCCAGGAATCCCACGCAGGCTGGCCGAGCACAGCCTGAACATCATAAAAGGGTTTAAACCCGTCAAGCAGACCCTACGGCGTTTTTCCGAACCCAAGAGACAAGCCATGGGAGAGGAGCTAGCAAAACTGCTGGAAGCCGGATTCATCAGAGACATAAAACATCCGGACTGGCTAGCAAACCTGGTGATGGTACCAAAGAAGGACAAATCTTGGCGCCTATGTGTCGATTTCAAAGACCTAAACAAGGCCTGTCCAAAGGACCCTTTCCCACTCCCCCGAATTGATCAAATCATCGACGCCACCACAGGACACGACTCATTGTGTTTCCTCGATGCATACTCTGGCTACCATCAAATCAAGATGGCAGAGTTAGACCAAGCGCAACGGCATTCATCACCCCATACGGCCCATTCTGCTTCAACACGATGCCCTTCGGGCTCAAAAACGCCAGCGCAACATATCAGCGCATGATTCAGACATGTCTGGCCAACAAGATCGGCAAAACAGTCGAAGCATATGTAGATGGCGTGGTCGTCAAAACAAAACATGTCGATACTCTAGTAGATGACTTGAGGCTCACGTTCGACAATCTCCGAACATATGACATTAATCTTAACCCAGAAAAATGCGTTTTCGGCATACCAGCCGGAAAGCTCTTGGGCTTCAACATATCCGGTAGAGGAATTGAAGCAAACCCAGCCAAGATCCGAGCTCTGTCACAATTGGATACCCCAAAGGACCTCAAACAAATACAAAAACTGACAGGATGCGTGGCGGCTCCGAGCCGCTTTATCTCCCGCTTAGGAGAAAAGGCATTACCCCTCTATCGCCTCCTGCGGAGCACCGACCACTTCGAGTGGACGGATGCCGCCACGGCCGGACTCGAAGAAATAAAAGCCATACTGGCAACAAATCCGGTCCTGGCCGCGCCCAACACGGGCGAACCAATGCTATTATACATCGCGACAACCCATCAAGTTGTAAGCGCGGTGCTCGTTGTCGAACGAGAAGCGGACAGACACAAGTTCCCCCTCCAAAAACCAGTATACTACGTGTCCACTGTGCTAACTCCATGCAAGTCACAGTACCCGCATTATCAAAAGATAGCATATGCGGTGTTCATGGCATCCCGGAAGCTGCGACACTACTTTCAAGAGTGCTCCATAACACTGGCATCCGAAGTACCCCTTAATGATATTATAAACAACCGCGACGCAACGGGCCGGATTGCCAAATGGGCCATCGAGCTCCTCCTGTTCGACATAACCTACAAGCCAAGGCGAGCTATTAAGTCATAGGTTTTGGCTGACTTCATCGCCGAATGGACTGAAGCCGAACTCCCTAAAGAATATGGCGCATACTCCAACTGGATCATGCACTTCGACGGCTCCAAAATGTTGGCTGGCCTGGGGGCTGGCGTCGTTCTGACGTCCCCAACCGGGTACACAGTCCAATACGTACTTCAGATAATGTACACGGATTCCAACAACGCAGCCGAATACGAGGCCCTTTTACATGGCCTCCGAATGGCAGTCTCCATGGGCATTCAGCGCCTAGAGGTCCGCGGGGATTCAAATCTCGTAATATCCCAAATAAATGGAGACTTCGACGCCAAGGATCCGAAAATGGCAGCTTACCGCAACGCCATCTTTAAGATGTCAGCTCGGTTTGAGGGGCTCGAATTTCATCACATAGCCCGGGAAAATAACCAAGCAGCAGACGTGCTGGCACGCATTGGCGCCAAGCGCGAGGCCGTCCCTCCCAACATCTTCCTAGAAAGGTTGTTCAAGCCATCTGTATCATGGGAAGGAGAA